GGGACAATATGAAAAGTTTGTATATCAGTGTTATTGCAGTCCTGGACGGACAGGAGAATGAGATTGGTGGAGGAAAATATTTGAAGAAATAATGACTGAAATTATATCCTTGTTTCAGGGTCAACTTCTGAGAAAACTCGAACTAAAATAGTTTCACAGATTATGTTTCCGAGGGAGCAGAATCTGAAATGGAGATTTAGAGTTTATTAAGGAGTGCTCTGGGAATTCACATCGGTGAGAGGAGAGAAGGAAGCAGGACTGGCAGAGGGAGGTGTTGGGTTGTAGTCACACAAAGGTCTCAGGTAACTGCATGGGGAGCTCTGAAGCCAGTGGCCCTTGAGAGTTGTCCCAAGTTGAGGTGAGGGGGCTTGGCCTACATACTGTTGCCTCAACCAGTCATTAGTTGCAGGATGTCCTGAGAAAGGGGACATGACCTTGAGAAAAGTAGTTCTCTTTAGATGCATGCCAGAAAAAGCTTAGATTGCCTTGAAGCAAATGTTAGTAGAAATATGTTAGAGGCAGAATTGGCGAGGACTCAGAAGAGCTGGAGAGAAAGTTCCCATGGTCTTAGATAATACATATACCATCCTGAGCAGAATGCTGGTAGAAATATATACATTAAAAGCAATTCTGGTGAGATCTCAGACAGAAATGAACAGTATGCTATTGGGAACTGGAGGAAATGCTATCCTTGTTATAAAGTGGCAAAGAACTTGGCTGATCTGTGTTCTAGTGTTTTGTGGAAGGTAGAACATGCGAGCAATGAAATCATACATTTTACTGAAGTGTCTAAGCCAAGTGTTGAAGGTGCAGCCTGTTTTCTCCTTACTGCTTATAGTAAAATGCAGGATGAGACAGATAAATTGAAGGAATTGTTTAGCAAAACAGAACCAGACTTAGAGATCTGGGAAATTCAACCTATCCACATTGTAAAACATGAGAAAGCTTGTTCTGAAGAGAACATGCACCTTAAATCTCTTCCAGCCTCTACCCGTCACCCAATTCCAAAGCCACTCTCACATTTTCAGGTAATTTGTTACAGCAGCACCCCACTGCCATAACAAAACATCACAAACTGGGTAGCTCAAATAACAGACATTTATTTTTTCAGAGTTCTAGAGGCTAGAAGTCCAAGATCAAGGTGCTATCAGAGTTGGTTTCTGGCAAGGACGCTCTTCCTGGCTTGTAGATGGCTTCCTTTCTCTGTCTTCACATGGGTTTTCCCCTGTGCAAATGCAAAGAGAGAGAGAGAGAGGTTTCTAGTGTTTCTTACTCTTCTTGTAAAGACTCACATCCTGTTGGATTAGAGTCCCACCGTTATGACCACATTTAACCTTAATTGCTTCCTTAAACACCATCTCTCCAAATGTAGTTTCATTGGTGATTAGAGCTTCAAGATATGAATTTGGGCGGGGGGGGGGAACGATGACACAATTCAGTCCATAACATGCTTTTATAAAGAGAATGTTATATGATGTATTGGACCATGGCTTTTCATAGATATATGCATAAACAATGTCTCACTGTGAGCGTAAATAAAGAGAAATCCCAAAACATTGTTTTAGACAAAGCAAAGCAGTTCTCTTTATTTCAATATGCATTTATAGAAAAGTGACTATGAGCAAGATGCTGTTACCAGATGTTGTGAAAGATACAAAGGTGAATAACATT